CATACGAATATGATAAGTGGAAGCCTGAAGCCATAATCCATGATCAATAGTGCCCTGTAAATAACGGAAGATGCGCTTGACAGCAAGCAAGTGAGTAGTGCGAGAAGCATGCATGAACTGAGACATTAAATGAACTGCATACGTAATATCAGGTCTTGTCAAAGTTAAATACTGTAATGCATCTACAATACTACGATACTCAGTAGCATCAGCTAGGAGTTCACCATCGGGGAGGGAGAGAGAGAGAGAGAGAGAGAGAGAGAGAGAGAGAGAGAGAGAGAGAGAGAGAGAGAGAGAGAGAGAGAGAGAGAGAGAGAGAGAGAGAGAGAGAGAGAGAGAGAGAGAGAGAGAGAGAGAGAGAGAGAGAGAGAGAGAGAGAGAGAGAGAGAGAGAGAGAGAGAGAGAGAGAGAGAGTTATGCGAGTGGCAAGTGGTGTACGAACAGACTTGAGAGTGTGTAAGTGAAAACAAAGGAGAAGATCAAACACATACTTTTGCTGAGACAGAAACACACCTTGAGAGGTTCGAACAGCTTGAACCCCCAAGAAATATTGAAGATCGTCCAGATCTTTCACAGCAAAATGGGACACAATACGACTAATAAAGGAAGACACAAAAGAGGGAGAATTACCCGTAACAATAATATCATCCACATAGAGTAATAAATAAATAACTGACTGACCCTGACGATAAATGAACAAAGAATTATCAGACTTACTACATAAAATATTATGAGTAAGGAGAAAACTGCTAAACCGGTGGAACCATGCCCGCGGGGCCTACTTGATGCCATAAATGGCTTTGCGCATGCGACAAACATGATTTGGGAAGTGAGGATGAATAAAACCCCGTGGTTGACGCATATAGACTTCTTCTGTAAGATGACCATGAAGGAATACATTTTTCACATCCAACTGACGCATAACCCACCCAAAAGAAATAGCTAGAGTAAGTACAATACGAACTGTGGTGGGCTTAACTACCGGACTGAATGTTTCAGAAAAATCAACTTCAGCATGTTGATTAAAACCCTGAGTAACCAAGCGCGCTTTATGGCGCTCAATAGATCCATCTGAATGAAATTTAGTTTTATAAATCCACTTAGACCCAACCACATTCATAGAGTTATCAAATGGAAATAAATCCCAAGTAATATTGGAAATAAGAGCATTAAATTCATCAGCAATAGCTTCACCTCAAATAAGACTTTTATGGGTCTCACAAAAACAAGTGGGATCTGCTGAACTAACAACCGTGTTTAAGGTAAAGATTGATTTAGGCTTAAAATCTCGGACTTTGCCCGGGTTTGCATAGGATGAACATTTAACGGGAACACTTCAGGGCTGGACGAAGAAGAGGTAGACGGATTGGACAGGCTGGTGGTGACATCGGCAGACGTCGAGGTGTAGGGAGAAGAAGTAGACTGTGCACTGGGGTTGGACGGGATTGGCTGTGAGCTGGGTTCGGCAGTTGACTGGTGAGACTGCAGATGAGTTGGCGAAGCTGGGGAAGCCAGGGAATGCTGGCCGTGGAGAGGAGAAGGGAAAGGGGAATGAGTGGCTGGGATGGTTGGGGATACGGCTGTAATAGGAGGGAAGGACGTGGTGGAGGTGATTACCGGTGGTAAATTAGAATGAACTGGCCTAAGTGTATTAGTTAGGAAAAATTCAGCATTAGCAGAAGAGGAAGACGGCTCAGAGGAAGATGAAAGCAGGGGGTTATAAGGAAAATTATTTTCAAAGAATTTGATGTGATGACTAACATAAACTTTACCAGATTTAGGCTCAAGACAACGATACCTTTTATAGCTAGATGTATAGCCAATAAAAGCACAATGAACAGAATGGGCAGAAAATTTGTTGACAGAGGAAGCAGAGATATTGGGGAAGCAAGAACAACAAAACACACGCATAAAAGAATAATCCGGAGATTTTGAAAAAGTCATTCATATGGAGAGGAACCACCGAGTAAGGGAGAGGGTAAACGGTTAATTATATATGCAGCCGTAAAAATGACATCTACCCAGAACCGACTAGAAATAGATGCTTCAAGAAGCATAGTCCGGGTGAGTTCTAATAGATGCCGATGTTTACGCTCAACAACCCCATTTTGTTGAGACGTGTCAGGACAGGATTTTCGAAAATAAACCATTTTGATCAAAAAAAATCTTTCATATTAAAATTAACAAATTCACCCCCTCCATCACTTTGAAAAATTTTAATTTTGGTGTTAAAGAGATTTTCAACTAAAGCTTTAAAATTCTTAAAGTAATGAAAGACTTCAGCTTTGGTGCGCATGGGAAAAAGCCAAGTGTAGCGAGAAAAATCATAAATAAAACACACATAATATTTAAAACCTAAATTAGATAAAATGGGAGATTGTCAAACATAAGAATGAATTAATTACAAAGACATAGTAGAATTATGGCTAGCATCTGTAAAGGGTAAACGTTGAGATTTGCCTAAACGGCAAGAAATACAATCATGAGAGAAACTAGAACTACCAATGGTCTAATCTACGGTGCCAAACAGGTCCAGACGAAGTGAGAGAGGACAAAGCTAGTGTAGGCTGAGGGTTGAGGCTGACTAGATAGAGATGGCCATGACTAAGTGCTTGAAGAAGGACCTTCCCCGAAATTTTGTCCTTAACAAAAAAAAGAATAGATATTAAATTAAATTTGACATGAGACACATAAAAGACAGATTTCAGCGTGAGAGGACGGCTAGAAGAATTTAAATGCACATCCCCAATATTATGAATAGGAAGTTTAGAGTCATTAGCTACACTAACAGAAAGTGGTCCAGTATAAGGTAATTTATTAACTAAAATACCTTCTGAAGGAGTCATGTGAGCCGAAGCCCCAGAGTCGGGGTACCATAAAGCAGCATTTGATTCACCAGTATTGGAAGTTAGAAGAGCAGGAGCAAATGTCTGAGTAAAACAAGACGGACACTAAAGAGCGGAGTGACCAGCAGGGAAACAAATTTGACAGACAACAGGTGGTGGAACCGAACCACGGATATCCTCACCCGATGGAAAACCTGCATTGCTAGTGTGAGTATCATGAATAAAATAGGAATTGATATTTAAAGTTGACAAAACCGAATTACATGCAGAACCTGAAGTGGGCGGACGAAGAGGAAACACCCCCTGCGGCGAAGCCGGCTGACCCTGTTGTCCGATGACGTAACCTTGAGGACCAAGTCCGGCGTGCTGCTGCCCCTGCTGCCCGGTCGATTGCTGGTGGCCATAATAAGTATAATCGGGTTGCGGCTGTGCACCATACTGGTGTGGCGCGCCCCTGTCGCGCTCACGGCCTGTTCTGTCGCCACCACCCCTGCCGCGGCCTCTCTGCCGCGGTTAGGAGGACCTCGTGGTTGCTGTCCAGCTGCGGCAGCTGCTACAAAGGCATGATGACCGGCCGTAATTTGCTATTGACGCTCATAAAGAACATGTTGCTCTTCTTCCAAAAGACGTGGATGCAAAATGTCAAAGGGAAATTGCTCAGGGAATAAAGGGAAATGTCTTTATCTAAGACAGGGGAATTAATTGCAGCAAGAGCATCCACTAAATGCTTGATTTCCTTCAAATAAATTTCCATAGACTGAGTTTCTTTCTTCTTTATGTTTTACAATAATCGTTTAAGTTCCATACACTGAGGTAAACTGGCAGAAATAAATCTTGTCTGAAGTGTAGCCCAGATAACAGCAGAATGTTTCAATTCATGAACATCAACTAACACATCCCGAGTTAAGGTAGCAAACAACCAACAACGAATTGTTTGATCTACACGTAACCAATAATAATACTCGGAATTGGGAACTTAACGATTAGCAAAATCAAAGTATACATCGAGATACCTGAATGGAACCGTCAATAATACCAAACAAACCTTCAGAAACTAAGAATGATTCGAACTGAGTGCGTCAAGTGAGATAATCTTCAACTTCCTTCAACTTAATGGTAACAATCTGAGAAATCGTGGTAATATGGGACACGGATTGAGCAAGAGCCGACATAGGGGGGCCAATCCCAGATTGGTCAACCGGTCAAATTACGCCTGGCGTGCCGGAGAAAGTAGAGTCGAAGAAGGGGGAAGTAGGCGGCGCAGGTGAGTAATCACTTGCACCAGATCGATGCACAGCCGGTTGCGTAGCAAGCCTAGGTGGCATAGACTGAAACAGAGAATAATTTTCTACCGTCGGGAAGAATGGTGGCGACGGAAAATTAGAGAACAAGGTTGACGACTCTGGCCTCTGAATCTATGAAGTAATAGCTCCGCCGGAAAAATTGACAAGGGAGGAAGGGGAAAACGGTGGTGGCATCATAGCAGTGGTGGGAGTGATGTTTTCCGATGCCGTTTTAGGTACGGCAGCGATGGAAGAACCGCTGGTGGAGTCCAGAGCTGCGGCTGACTCCATGGAGGAGGCGCAGCCGTGCAGGTGTGCGGCGGAAATCTTAGGGGAGAAAAAATATTAGGTTAGGCCCAATAGTCAATACCATGTGAGAATAATGGGAAAAACGTGTTAAAATATGAGCTCTGACAGATATATTTATAATAAAATAGTAGTTGCGAAAATACACAAATATCCAAATTTATGGTTGGACTCGGGTCGAGCATCCCGGCGCGCTACTGTGCGGGATCGGGACCGGCCCAGTTCTCGGGTCCAGGTCCGGGTCGGGCCTAGGGGTAGGGCAGGTCCGGGCTCGAGTCTCAATTTTGGTGAACCAGCCCGACCGGGTCAGGCCCGGGCCAAATTGAATTTTTTTTATTTTTTTTTTCATTTTTGGGGTTCCACCAGGGTTGGGCTTGATGGGTAGGATGGGTTTGGGGGGGTTTGGGAGGGTGGGGGTGAGGATAGGGTCAGGAAAGCAAAAAAAAAAAAATCCAAACCGGAGGCCCGGCCCGGACCCAGAACGGACCCGGTGGCTACCCGGGCCGGTCCCGGGTCCACCATTCTTGAACCGCCGGCCCACCCGGGCCTAGGCCCGGCCCGGACCCGAGTCCACCCCTATCCTAATTAATATAAACTATTAGTTTTCTGACCACGATGAAAATGCTAATTGCCATCAATTACAATAATTCATGCACTAGAGATGTATCAAACAAAACCAAACCAAATGTACACAATAAATAAGTTAAAACCCACAAAACAAAATGAGATATAATTAAGCATCGTAATTTTCCACTTTATCTTTTTTCATATGCTTATGGGAACCTTCAATCTGTTCTTCTTCCCCTTCTTTACATTCTATATTCTGTTTGCAGAAGCTTAACCTAAATCTGACAACATAGCAACCTAATCATACATTCATACCCCCTGTGAGGTCCTCCTCAACTCCTTTCCAGCCCTCCGATGACCAGCAGAGGTACAGAGCTCCAGAAGATGGCCCTTCTCAGTTTCTGTATAGTTGGAAAATAGAAATGATGTCAAAACAAACGAAACATCTTACACACAGTACCAACGACAATCAAATACAGAAAAGATGCTCTTCAAGAAAAATTAGAGGTAATACAGCATTAGGCCCATCAAGTATACACTTTTACTCAATTTGGCTCGGCGACATAATTTAGACTCAACCTACACAATATGCAAATTTTGTACGCTGAAGACTGAGATAGATCCAAATTACATAGTCCAGGGTCAATCTTCCATGGAAGTATTTCATCTATAATTACTCGAACACCCATCCAGATGAAATATGGACATGATCATTATCATATAGTATCCATCTGGATGATTGGTAAAGTAGCTCCACATGAAGTCAACTTGGACACAGTTGACCAACATTGGGTCTGAATTTCATGGTTTAGGACCGAAATGAGTCCAATAACGTTGATTACCATATTGAGTAATAGTGTATAATGGAGTGATTAAATAGCAGGTAAAAAACACAAGGAAAAAAAACAAGAATACAAAGATGTTGCTCAACTATTGTGGTGCCCATGAAGAAGCTTTCTCCTTGCTAGATCTTGTCCAGAAAAAACCCCTTTTGCGAGCAGGATCATTCTCAGACAAAGATCTCGGCGTCCCCTTTGATCCACCAAATGAAAAGTGCCGTCTCAATGATGGCCTGCCTGTAGAGCTTGTCTTGGGACACCTTCCCACGTCTAACATGCCTGCAAGGTTTCCATTGAAATCACTGTCCACAACCCGATTCCTGTATTTCTTTCTAGCTTTCGCGTTCGTCTCGGCTTTCAGACCCTTCTCGCACATTTTAGACACCTGTTTCTCCCCAAGAGTACAGATGGGGCAAGCCGGGTCATACTTGTTGACCTCCAATGTCATATTCTCCAAACACTCCGCATGGAAAGCATGCCCACATGTCAGGACAGAAACAACTGCAATTTCATTAGAGGATATTGCTTTCCTACCACCCCATGAGGATTTCTCAGTTAATAGTTTGACACAAATACCACATGTTCTGAGATCTAAAGAGGGAGAACTAGAAGTTCTCCCACAAAAGAAACTTAAGTTTTCACTGTCAAAAGACCACCTTTCTCTACGTGGAGGAGTTGGTAGGAATTCATGAAATGTGGGAATGGACCAACCATCTGATGATCCACCATGGGATCCATGATTTGATTCATTGCTCCAACCTGGTAGCATGAGAGAACTTGAGGGAGCCAATTTCCCAGAAGGAAGCTGTTGACTTTCATCATTAGATAAAGGTGAGGCTGGTTGTGCAGGAGAAGGATAAGTTACTGCAGGCAATCTTGTTGACTCCGTTATCTAAATTCAGATTAAAGAAAGAAACATATTTTCAACTCAGAAAGAAAAAATGCATCTCAAGCAAACAAAAACAGACCATCCATGTACTAAAACCCATGTACTAAAAAATCAATCATATACATCCATTTACTTTTCAAAAGCAATCAATTTAGTCATATTACAGGAAGGTAACCTCCTCTAGCAGGTTCAAAGTAAATCCTTCACTTCTTGTCTCAGGTTTATTTTTCTATATTTTTCCTGTCTTTTTGATCCATTTCTTTGTTTGCACGAGCCACAAGTCCTTATCTCTATCAGTTCATCTTCAGTTTTTTTTTGTTTTACTACGTATTTTCTTTTCTTTTTCTTTGGATTCTCCCGTTCTGTACTCTTTTAAGTTTTGTAAATTGTAAGAAAAAAGTTTCCGAGTCAAGTGAATTCTCCACATCTCCACTCCCTCAATTTGTTCCCGTAGTCATTGAACAACAACCACGACGAATGACCTTCCCTCACTCATTTGTCCCTGTTCCATTACTGAAGGAGGAAAATGCTCTCGTTGATTAGCGCACTAACGAAGAACATTTCCGCATCATCGATTGTCCTCCTGCAGCTATCCCAAGTCCAAACTCATCCACCGCAATCCAGGATTCTGATAGAGAGCGGGAAGAGCATGGGGCGGGACCGGGCTTGGGCCCACTTCCGTGGGCTGAGTTAGGGCTGTCGTTATAGTTTAATTATTATTATTAAGTTAATGTTATGTTTTAGTTTGGGCCTATTATTAGTAGAGTAGTTAGTTGAGTTAATTTGGGCTTAATTAGGGTTTAATTAATATGGGCTTGATTAGGATTTCTTGTAGAAGGCTATTTATACCCCTCGCCAGGGTTCATTCTTATTATCTTGGAATAAAGTTAGAGTTTAACCTTTGGCTTTAGGCAACGGTATTTTTATCGTTGATTATCTGGGCAACGGTTCACCCCGTTGATTTCTATTTTTCTGTTACATATCAATTGGTCCGACCTGTCGGATCCCGTCCCGCCGGAATGACGAGATCAACCAACGAACGTTTATCAGAATTGGAGGCTGAACACGCCCTAATCAATCAAAAACTTGACACGCAAGGACAGAAACTTGATCTGCATGGACAGAAACTTGACACACAAGGTCAGAAACTGGAAGAGCAGGCCGCCCACCTTGCGGAAATCGCAGCCTCTCTTGCAGCAATCGCGAAGGCCATGGTGCCGCCGCAGAAATCTCCCATCGCGACCGTCGAGAGTGATTCCTCTAGCCACGTCGCATCTGTCTTCTCCAATGATGGCGGACTGCGCACCGCAGCCACAACGCTACTTCCCTCGTTCGATGGCGAAGACCCAATTGGGTGGTTGGCGAGAGTGGAGCAGCAGTTCGAGCTCAACAGGACCCCACCAGACAGACAAGTTGCAGCGGCTAGGGTTTCTATGGAAGGGGCTGCCCTCTATTGGGTGACGTGGTTAAAGGCGCGCAAACCTGGCATATCTTGGGAGGAATTTAAGCAAGCCTTGGTGGCCAGATTTGATTCCCGATATCAGGGAAACAGGTTTGAACGGCTGTCTGGCGTCAAACAAATTGGGTCGGTGGAGGAATACAATACCTTGTTCGTTCAATTGGCTAGTCAAGTTCCGGGATTGACCGACGATCATTATTTGGGCTACTACATGAGTGGACTTGGGGAAGCAATCCGAAGTTCGCTGCGCTTATTACGGCCAGAAAACCTGGAGACAGCCATGGAATTAGCTCGCGATGTGGAGCATAATCTGTCCGTCCAAAGTGGAGGAAGTGGCAGCCCGAATTATAATTCTGCAGGGGTACGTTCCAGCAGCTTTTTAATGGCAAACACGGGTCCTCCTTTGACTGCCAGTGGTGGCAGCTTGCAGGGATCAAGGGGCAGCTTTGCGAAGGATAGTGGACAGCCTCCGGGGACGAAGTCAGGGCTGTCCGGGCAGCCTACGACACGCTCTCAATTCACTCGTCTTCCGCCAAAGGAGTTCGCAGAATTGAGGGCGAAAGGATTATGCTTTAGGTGTAAGAAACCATTTACACCGGGGCACGACTGTCTCTTTAAGCAGCTGCGGGTAATGATAGCCGAGGAGGAGGAAGAGTTAGACCTCCAACAGCATCTGGGAATTTCAGCTCCCCATCTGTCAGCTTTCAACCTTGAGGACAAGGTTATTTTGAAGGAGGATGGATTGATAGAGAGCGGGAAGAGCATGGGGCGGGACCGGGCTTGGGCCCACTTCCGTGGGCTGAGTTAGGGCTGTCGTTATAGTTTAATTATTATTATTAAGTTAATGTTATGTTTTAGTTTGGGCCTATTATTAGTAGAGTAGTTAGTTGAGTTAATTTGGGCTTAATTAGGGTTTAATTAATATGGGCTTGATTAGGGTTTCTTGTAGAAGGCTATTTATACCCCTCGCCAGGGTTCATTCTTATTATCTTGGAATAAAGTTAGAGTTTAGCCTTTGGCATTGGGCAACGGTATTTTTATCGTTGATTATCTGGGCAACGGTTCACCCCGTTGATTTCTATTTTTCTGTTACATATCAAATTCCCCGTCTCCGCCTGTCTGTCCATGAATGCGCCTCACAGGATTACATGTGTTGGTCTCCATCCGGTTTCGCCTGAAGTCTAGGAGCATAGGTACAGGGATCGCAGACCTACACGCGATTTCCATTCCGGATCGCGCGTACCGGATCGCGGTACATTTGCACGCGGGTCACTTCTGGGTCGTGACTTCGGCACGGAGGTTTCAGGTCGCAGTTCGCACGTATCATCGTCGCAGGTCGGTGACGCTGGTCTCTCCGTCGCAGGTCTCCGTTACAATTCACCAAGTTCACCAATGCAGGTCATAACTTTGCCGATTTGTACTGTTGCTCATTTTACAGTTTTCAGATTTGGACTCTATGTTCTCTTTTACTCTGCGGCCCTCTTATTCTTTCTCTTTGGCAAACGGTTCTATTTTGCTTTTTGTTTTTTCCCCGATCAGTTACTCCAGCTACTACAACTTTTCCATCTTTTTTGAACTACACAGTATTTTGTGTGTGTGATGATTTTGAACTAAGCAGTATATTCTCTTTTAACAACTGAATTTTTTATTGCTTCATTAATATTAAATACCTATATCAATTAAAAAATTAATTTTATCAGATTTAGTTTATTCAATTTATGAATTGGGAATAATTGAAATTTGGAATGTTACATTAATTATTCAATAATACTCCATATTATTAATATTATTATATTTTTACATTATAAGTTGTATATGTTTTACGGTACACCGTACCGTAATCAATGGTACAACGTACCGCGTACCGGAATAGCGTACCGACGAAGCCTACCCCCTCATGTACCGGATACGCTAGACTTAGCGAACCCCGTTCCCGATCTTCGATCCCATACCGAAGCGTTCCGCGAACTATGTGACTATGTCTAGGAGTAGCAGAGAAGCAGATCTCCGTCGCCACCTTCCCGTCGATTTGAATTAGCCAGGCTAGAGGACAATATATATATATACGGAAAAGATCCAGCCGCCGCCGTTTGGGACAGGATGCTCCGGCCAGCCGCCGTTTGGGGTTGTTCCCGGTGGAATTTTTTGATGAAATTTTTTAGCATGTTCATCATCAAATCAAATCTAGTGTATCCACAAAAAAATTCAGTTTAAAATTCAATCTAAAAGGCAGTCAATTAAATTTATGAAAATAACTGCGCATTATATGTATATTTTGGCGCAGTTATCTTCACAAATTAATTGATTGTCTTCCATTTTGAATTTTTAGGTGAACTTTTTTGTGGATAAACTAGACTTGATGAGGAGCATGCTCAAAAAACTTCTTCGGGAATCGCCCCAAACGGCAGCGCTGGCCAGAGGATCCTGTCCCTCCGGCTGGACAGGATCATTCCTCTATATATATAGAGAGAAATATTCCTGTCCAAAATTCAGGACAGGAACTGCCGTCCAGACAGCGGACAGCGGCGTTTCGGCCTCTTCCTGGTGGATTATTTTGATAAAATTTTTATGACATGTTCTTCATCAAGTCTAGTTTATTCACAAAAAAATTAGCGAAAAGTTCAATCGGGAAGGCCTTCAAATAATTTATGGAAGATAACTGCGTTTTATATGTATATGTTGGGCGCAATTATTATCCAAAAATCATTTGACGGCCTTCCCGATTGAATTCTTAGTTGAAATTTTTTGTGGATAAACTAACTTGATGAAGAACATTCCATAAAAATTTTATCAAAAAATTCCACCCGGAAGGGCCCCAAACGCCGTTGTCTGAACGGCGGTTCCAGTCAGGAATTCTTGATCGGAAGAGTACTACATATATATATATATATATATATATATATATATATATACACACACACACATACATGTGTGTGAGAGAGAATTCTGGGAAATGTTAACCCATTGTTTTTTGAAGAAAGTCGCAAAACTTTTGTCCTTGGAGTCTAAATATATACAGAGGGAGATTAAGATGAAAGAAAAAATTGCACAAATACGCACTTATGTGGCTAGAAGACGGGGATTGTGAGTTGATGAGAAAGTAGGAGAAAGAACAAAGAAAAGAAAGAGAAGAGAAAAAAATAAACAATAGAAAAAATTCAACACTCCATTTGACCGGTTAAGAAGGTCACTTTCATGTAAATCTGGCCATATTGATCGTTTTTACATTGTACATATGTTTAAGTGATTCTTTTATTAGTAGATGGGTTCATGTGATGGATTTTTGATAGTTGAAGGGTCTATTTGACCCTTGTTCCCTAATCATATACTACGTATTAAAGAAAATAAGGGTGAAGGGGTATTGCATTCTTACCTCTGTAGAATTTGTGGCCACAAAAGGATCTGCAAAGATAAGGATGATATAAGCAAAGTAACAGATGGAGTGGAAGTTATTAATGGTTAACCATTTTCATACCAAATTGCAAAAAAAGAACCACAAACATACACCAATATGATTTTGCTTCAGTCAATGTACACAAACAGTAATGCTCCCTACAATATAATAACAAAGCTAAATACAAATAAAAGAGTTTACTCTGATACAGTTTTACGGACCAATAGTTGTAAAGTACTAAAGTGTTCTCTCATGCAGTTCATTTTTCTAGAACAAAGCAAACACTTTTGCACTTCAAAAGTTGTGTTGATGTTACTTTGATAAACATTGTTTTTAAATGTCCATTCTGACACAAGGTTACATTGTTCAAACCACAATTTCAGTTTAGATTTGATTTTTTCATTGCGAATTTTTAATAAGCAGATTCAGAGTTTTCTACTGTATGATATACAGCCTCCATTCCAAACTGATTTGCAATATCCGATTTCTAGTCGACTCATGATAAAGTTAAACCATCTATGATAATATTCGTAGTAGTATTGATCATTAAAAACTACACATTTAGAACCTACACTAAAAGATTTATTTAATCACAAAAATTACTCAGATACAGTAAAAGTTTGAAACTCAAAATTACATACTCCTGCCGTCCCGTAGAAAGGTTCCCATGCGGTTTACGATGTTTGACTAACCATAAAGTTAACTCACCCCTATTCGTAATTAGAATTTTTTTAGTAAATAAAATTTACATATTCAGAAACTACATTAAAAGTTTTATAAAGAAAAAGAAAAACTCAAATTTGATTAAAGTTGGATATATAAAGTAAAAAGATTAATCAGACTTTACGTTGACCAGAAAATAGTGGACGATAACCTTTGAATGGGACGGAGGTAGTAATAAACAAAAACTCTGTTGACCAAGAAAAGTATAAGTAGTAATCATTTAGGAACGGAGAAAGTACTAATTATATCTGGAGTATTTGGTACCAATTCTGCCTTATGAAATAGTGAATTGCTTAGGACTAGTTTTTTTTACACCTGCCTAGGACTGGTTTTTTACACCTACTTAGGACTAGTTAGGAGATGTTGGTATTGCAAATTGGTTTTGGTAAAAATTACCAAAAGGCTGCACTTTACTAGTCACTTCACTTCAACGCTTCCAAGAAATAATTTATCCCAGTCCCACAACATTTCTCAGTTTTCATACGCGTAACAGATCTCATGCTGCATATATACATGCAGAATTTACCAAATGAAATGCTATTATTGTATGTTGGAGAAAGCATCAAAGTTAGATAACATTTTAAATGATAAAATTACACTTATCTGGTAAGTAGACATCCCTTAATATTTTGATAAATTTCTGAAGCTGTTCAGATTTTCGGTAGTGGTTTACTCCATATTATATAAGAAAACAAAAGGATGTGATACCAAAAGGGGAGCCATAAGGCATTACCTGAGGAAGGATGTGATATAATTTCACCATTTCTTTCAGATGTTGGTGACTTCTGCCAGGGATGCGACCGGAAACTATCCAATGGGCTTCCCTCTTCAGAGGCAAATACTGCTTCTACTGTTGTCCTAGACTTAAAATCAAATCTATCAGTACCACTAACTCCATCAGAAGACCAATTAAAAGTGGTGTCTTCCCCTACTACTCGCCCTCGATTATCCCAACGAAAGCTCCAAGATGGTGAATATCTAACGTTCCTGTGCAAAATATCACGGGTAGATCGATTTGCTGTGGTTCTATCTTTTGCAGCTATACAGCAAGCAGATCCCATTATGACATACAATGAGTAAAATATGTTGAAACTTGAAAGCAAGCTGTCATTCAATGAACATTCCGCAAAACAAACAATTAGTCACCTGAAATCAACATAGAAAGAAAATGAATTTAAATAAGCACTCATATTTTGGCAGAAAGGCATAGTTGATACTATACTGCAACTCTGCAAGTGACTATGACAAAGTTAAGACAAGAACCATGCAGGTACAAAATATTTTACAAGAGAAAAAGAGCTTCTTTGTAGTAAAAAATAATCTGGATAAGTGGATATGTCAAAAGTCACTTGAAATTGCAGCATTTTGGCAAAGTTAGAAGGTAGTGATTTCTTGCTACAAACCACATCATTCTGGCAACAAATATAATGATAACTAATAAAAGTATCAAGCAGTAATAAACAAAGGGGAAGAAGCAGCACCCATGAGCTTCCATCACCTAAAAATCCATAACACAGCACATGAAGAATCTTAAAAACTTCCCATTTCCCACTAATATGAAATACATGATAAAATCCAACGGTTTTACCCACACTTCCAGTGATCATGATTCTAAAGAATCACAAACAAGTTGAAAAAAGATAGCAAAATTCAATTATTTTAAGCATCATCTAGTATTGCCCTCATTAGTCCATCATGACCTCAAGACATCGGGAAATCATCTTTGTCTCAAAGGTTAGTTGATAAATAAACTATCACTTCCAAGGGAAGCCAGAGAAGGCCCGACTTTGTAATAGTTAGAGATTAATTATTACATACGAGTAGTATTTATCAATAGACTGATTAAATGAAAGAGATATTACAACGTCAATAACAATTATGGAAGTCAAAAAAAGTACTGTTCTTAAATTAAGTCCTTCACCCTGAATCTGTGAAACAGTTGAATAATCTCCCAGAACACTTCACACATAATATTCCCAGATGTATAGACGCAGCTCAAAATACGTAATCTCATACAAAAGACGTTACTCAGCATAAAGAATAAGGTAAATTACTAGTTTGAACCAAAACAAAAGCAAAATAAACATAATTTCAATTACCCTAGAAGACAGGAGAAGAAACGAGAACCTAAAACTGAAACAATAAGCCAGTTAACAAGAGAAGACAGACAGCACAAGGAGCAAATCCGAGTCCCAGGTACTTGTTATTATAAAAAGTGCCTAATCCTTACGAGAGTCAAAGAGATCCGAAATTCATGTCTCTATAAAACAGAAATGACTGGCACAAAATCATACAGGGCCCCTAATAGCCATAACCGTTTTACCCTATGATTATCCAAAATCAATCACACATGTCCAAATATACACATCTACAGGCATATAATCCTCACCAGGAATACGGAGTATCGTCCGTACAGAAGAAATAAAATAGGGACGGAGGTGATCGGAGAAAATGGATTCTACGATCGAAATCCGGCGAGGGATAGGAAAGTGTGGTGTGATAATATAGAATAGGAAAGTAGAGTGAGAAAGGGTGTGATTATCATGCGCGGCTCTATTGGTGGTGGAAGCCCAGAGGGGACTGGAGACGGAAAGGGGTTACGGGGTCTGTCTAGACGGTTTATTATTCCGTCAATCTCCGTTCCAAATGGTCATGCGTTGCCCTAACGGGCAACCCAAACGACGTTATTGACATACACTGCATCAATAGGTTGTTGTATACTTGTCAATGCATCAATATTTTAAGGCTCATTGTTTGATCATAATTGTTTTTGGAAATATCCCGGAGGGAAAAAGTGTGTGAATTCTAAATTATGATTATTAAGAGCTCGTTTGGTGATCTCCGTTTTTCGGTTTATTAGATTTGTCAACCAATTAATTTTGCGCGCTGGATTGTGTTATAATAAGAAAAAGTAAGGTTCAAATTACTTTTTTTGCTGCATTGGATGAAGTTACTGTAGAGGATCATTTTAACTATTTTTCATATAACTTTTTCTTCATTTTATTAATAAAATATATTTTAAATATAATTTTTATATAAATCAACAGAATCATCTAATACAACCACTTCAGCCATATTTCAGCAGAATCAGTCAATACAGCCGATTTTGATATCACTAAACGGGTCCTAAGTTATTGTTATGTGAGTATGAGTAATTATTGTCATATCTTGGTATTATTATGATTTAAATATGACAGTATTTTTTAAACTTAACTATTACTCTGTATCATTCTTATTTAGATAATAAAAATGTAGTATTTTTATTTTGGAATTTCAATCTAATTCTTATTTGATATTTTTATTCTTATTTGATATTTTTGCCCGGACTTTAAATCTAATTCGATGCAAAATGTAGAATTCAGAACATTTCAAGTGAACATTCTAAGTGATTGTCCACTAATTGGATTAGACCACTACGTATATTTGTGTTTGGGCTGTAATTTGTCCCAGACCAGACCAGACCAGACCAGACCAAAACAGATCAGACCAGACCAGACCATATTTTATTATTATTATGATTATTATTATTATTATTGTTATTATTATTAGTAGTATTATTACTATTATTACTATTATTATTACTATTATTATTAGTAGTAGTAGTAGTATTATTTTTATTATTGTTATTATTATTAGTAGTAGTATTACTATTAATACTATTATTATTACTATTATTATTATTATTATTAGTATAACTAGTAGTAGTAGTGTTAATGTTGTTGTTATTAGTACACTTACTATTTTATTATTGTTTGGTTTAGTCTGTTCGTATTTTAAGTCATACAAGTGACAGAATAATATAGATGATCTTGATTTGTAAAAAACAAAGGATAAAAATAAATTAATAAAATCTTGATTTGTAAAAAAATTGTATGAGTAATGGGTAAACTATAAATCTTTTTAGAACAAAAAAGTACTATAAAATACTCCCTCCGTCCCATAATTAACTTCTGTTTGGATTGGGCACGGGGATTAAGATAGTGGGATTTGTGTGGTGAAGAGTTGTGCAGAGGAGAGAAAAATGTGTAAGAATGATTGTGAACCACATATTCTTTATCAAAAAGGAGAGAGGAGATAAATTTGGGACGGACCGAAAAGGAAAAAATGAAGATAATTTCGGGACGGAGGGAGTAATAAATATCATCATGCATCTGTTGCTCTGGGTTTCTGAACGTCTTCCCAAATTTGTTTCGCAATTTCCACGCGAACATTGTTCATAGCTTCTTTTCGTCCATTGTTGAACATATCTGAATCAACCATGCCTTCTACATTCTCATCATGTTCATAAATTGACATTCCCATTTTGCACATGCTGATAAAATTATGAAGTGTAAAAGTAGAGAAAATAATTGCTTGTTGATGCTCTTCTTTCATTTTGGGCATATTGTGAAGTATCTTCCATCTTTTCTTCAGATGCGAAAATGTTCTTTCAATGGTAGTTCTCAGTGATGAGTGGCGATAATTAAAATGTTCCATTACTCCTCTTGGTTTACCATTGTCACGAAATTCTGGCACGTGTTTCCTCATTCCCGCATCATCAAATGGAGCTAAATATCCAAGTGTGTTTGGATATCCTGAATCTACTAAGTGGAAGTTATTTCTAGTGCTCTGGTGTAGAAGAAGCTATGTGTATTATGTATCCCCACATTTCTTGTTTTGTCTAAAATAATGTTAGCAATGAACAATTCGTTATTTGGTTTGTCTTTTTGATGCGTCAATGGGCCCCTTTAATTAATTAAAATGAATAAATGGAACAAGAGAATGTGATATGGAGTATATAATATTCATTTCTTTATATACCTGATTTAATTGGGCTCATCTAGCACTTGGGTCTAAGCTATTAGCTTTTTTGCGTCTATAATAGGATTGGCCCAGTAATCAACTTTACGTAATGTCATAATGTCAAATCTAAGATGCGTATATATTTGGTGACATGATTTGATTATTTTCTCAGAAAAGGTTTTCATAATTCATATTTTTGGTTTTTAATTCATGTACATTTTTTCCATAAACATAAAATCATGTACATTTTTATCGAAATGATTTTTACTCTCCAACATATGCTCATTATGGTGCATCTTGATGATTCTTTCTGGTTTTTTGTTCCTCCCAATTTCATTTTACATGTACTCAACAATGACTAATGACTCCATTAATGATAATTAAGTTTCTCTCCATCAATAAAAAAATATGAAATAATATCTTCTGGTCGGATGACATCACTGTTCATCTCCTAAAGAGGAGACCATATGTTCGAATCTCATCCCAATCAGGAATATATTAATTCTAGAAAATAAAATTGTTGCTAAATTAGTTACCCGTTTGGACTTTTTTTATCTTCCATAGTAGATTGGCTTCTACCGCAGCAAATGACTCAATTTTTATATTTAGCCTAAGACCCAACAATCCTAAATGCAATCTCCTACCTAGGGAAGCATAATAGACCAAACCGGATTTGAGATGGCGGATTGCAGTTTCAATCCTTTCGAATCGGACAATCCGATATGAGAACCAACCAACCCGGCGGACGTGGCGTGGTAAAGAGATAATAGTAGGATTCAAAAAGGTTCATGTTTCGATCTCTCACCCGACACGTGCGAATACCTAAAGTACATGTATATGTGTAGAGGATAAGTCCTCGCGTTCCAAACGCCCAACACAGTCTCTTGGGCTTTCATTGGATTCTCTTAATAGATTAGTTAGTGAGTGTGTTAGACGAGAATGAGGCGGATGTAATAGTAAAGAAATAAGAGGCAAAGTGTGTATGGTTCTATATTAGACACCTAGAACAATTATAATACACCTACGCCGACCCCGAGCTCCGACCCTCTAGATCAAGCTGAAGATTACAGGAGAACTAGAGAGAAATCTATTGCTAAGTATACACTTTTGTCAACCTTTTACAATGAAATAAATGTTGTTATTTATATTGCAAGGTAATAGGTGGAGGGGTGATGTGTTCAACCCTTAATGGATAGCCCCAACCATAAAATATCTCATATCTGATGCATTAAATGCACTTCCCCCAATGGATTCAGAGAAGAAGCCAAGTGAGAAGATCAGCTCGGCCGGCGGATCTCGTGTGGGTATGCTGGTTGAGCTCCTGAATTGGGAAATTGGTCTTGTATGCTAACCGGGTCGCCGGGGGTATTTGGGCTTGGACTTAATACCCCAACACACACACACACACACACACACACACACACACAAAATGTCTTCATTTCAGAACATGTTGGTTCTTTGAGCCCCATCTTTGTAATGGTGCAATGGTAGGCTAATAATACTCCCTCTCACCCCTACTTATGTCCCGTTTTTTAATTGTCTCGTTAAGTTTCCCGCATACAATCCTTGATAATATTGGTGTTGTTTTAATTCATTATTATTTTGTTCACGGTATCATTCAATTTAACTGCACAACTATATTTTTCTTAATAACCATATCATTCATCTTGTCCCAATCTTAGGAGACATGGGACGAATGTAATATGAGATAAAGTACATATAGCTTTTTGAAGCATAGAAATCCAAGTAAAATATGGATGAGTTTCCTTCATGAAACATATGTGCGTACATCGAGTGTTTGGTATTAAAATGGTGTTATGTACTTCAAGTAATCTCATCAAGTGTTTCAAAAGAGAGTTTAATGGAGCTAAGGTGGGCCTGGCACGACCCCACCCCAGTCCACTCCAAATTTGATAAATGATTGTATTTTATAAGTAAAAATTTAGGGGTACAACAAAAATATTGTTAAAAAATAATTAATGGACAAAAAGGAGAAAATTATAAGTTTCCAAAAATGAGAGTAAAACGATTAAATGAGTGTTTGCTAACACTTAAAATAAGCACTTCTTAGTTTTTAACTTAAAGTAAGTTTAAAAGGTGTTTGCTAATACCTACTTCTACTTAAAAACACTTTAAAGTTAAAACCTATAAGCTGGTAGAGAGGTGTTTTAAAAACAAAAAAACACTAATTTTATCAAACACTATCCACTTTTACTTTTCAAAAGCACTTTTTTCTAAAATCAACATTTTTAAAGTAAAAGCAATCACAAATACTCCCTAAGAGGACAATTTACACATCTTCTGACATGACGACTTAACGCTACAGTGACAAATTTCACAGTGACTCATCCCGGGGTGACCATCACCGGCCACGATGACCACCACCGCCCAGCTAGTGACCATCGTCTCCATGACCATAGAGCGCTGCCGCCCCTGCAAACTGCTGTCCCTGCAACACCACTCCACACATGCCCCTGACCACCCTAATCCCTCCCATGTGTTATTCTTTCAAAGTAGTGCGTTTGGTGCTCTGTTGTACATTCCATACTTTTGGCAGGTGAGGAACTCGGCCATTTTTACAGGGAATCCTTCCATTATGTATAACTTGGTGGTGTAAATCAAGTTGGTCTACCCAAAATTGTACAAATAATACCCATCAAACTTGATTGATTCAGGCCCCCATCGTTTTGTTTTCTTTGTGGTGTTTGGGGGAGTTTTGGAAGTGATTCCTTTTAGTTAGTTTATGCTTTTGGAATTGACTTGATGTATTGTGGGGACGTGGAGTATAATTGTGTCCCATTTCATCGAAGAAAAGTTCCTTCCTCCTTCCATAGTTGATAGTTCCATGGATAATGGTTTTTTTAGACTCCTGCGTGTTGGACTGGATCTCTGGTGCGCACGGGTAAAAGGTCCCCATCATTGGGCCGACAGAGTCACCGTGACTTAATCCTCCCAAAAACCGTGTCGGGTCGGGATGTGGGGGCTCCTGAGGTGGGAGATTCCACCTTTTGGAACAATGGATAATGGTTTTAGTCCATTGAAACATTAGGTTGAGTTTTAGTATCGCAAAACATAAAGTTTTTGCAAGAGTTTGTGAATAAGAAAAGTTGAGTGGGAGCTAGAGCGCAATTCTCTATTTGAGTTTTGGGGTGGCATGAAAGTTTTATTTTTCTACAAATTTACACATTTGATAGAAAGGTCCTTGAAGGTCTAAGCCAAAAACTAACCCATCCCACAGAAATGGCGACAATAGTGGGAAGCCCCAGATTAAACTACAGCATCACAATCACTCTTCCATTTCATCCATGAAAAAACGTAAGTGAAAAACAACTATTGATTAAATAACTAACTTGAAAGAGGCTTGTTAACAGTTTCAGGAATTGCATTTCCCTTTTGATCGATCAACCACATATATAAAAAATCATCCATACATAGTTCCTCCTCACCGGGAGGGCAGGAGATGGAAAAGAAGCATAGAAGAGGAAAAGGATCCTCTATCATCACCCACGCCTCCTCTCCGGCGCTGCCACCGCCGCCTACAATGGTGACCCTCCTGGTTGTTCTTCTTTCCGTCTTCATTGCTGACCCGACCCGTGTTCATGCACAAGACTTCATGGTTCTCCCTGCAAGAGCGTTCGAAACCTTCGTTCCTCACGATAACTACCTCCTCGATTGTGGTGCCACCTCCTCCGCCACCCTTCCTGGCGGGAGAATCTTCCAGCCTGACCAGAACACCAACAAATACTTGACTTACAGCGGAGACGAGATTCAGGTTTCGATTCCGCCTGCAGATGGTAAAGGCATCCCAGCCATATACCTCAATGCAAATGTATTCCTCAGCGAAGCCACATACACCTTCCATGTCACCTCGCCGGGATTGCATTGGATACGACTCCATTTCTATCCGTTGAATGCAGGCGGCCATGACTTAAAGACGGCGAGATTCTCGGTCGTAACCGAGACATTAGTCCTTCTCCGAGAATTCGAAGTGGCCAACAACACCGACCCGTGCGTCAAAGAGTTTTTGGTAAACGTCACGACGGAACGTTTCCCGTTGACGTTCAAGCCAGCAGGGAAAATAGCATTCATCAATGCCATTGAATTTGTCTCCGCGCCTGAGCCGCTAATCAGTGATTCCGCCTCTTTGCTCTTCCCTGTTTCCGAACAATTCGGGTTGTCAGGCAATGCATTTGAAACCGTTCACCGTCTCAATGTAGGAGGACCAATGATAGGACCCGAAAATGACACACTCGGAAGAAGCTGGAAACCAGACGTAGAGTACCTTAACCCTAAGGAAATGGGGAAAAATGTTTCTGTCTCACCTGGGATAATATCTTACCCTAAAGGTCGCGGTTCCCCTCTGATTGCTCCACCTCTAGTTTATTCATCCGCGGTGGAAATGGCAGATTCTGGGGTTATGGAATCAATTTTCAATGTCACTTGGCAATTGGAAATTGACAACGATTACACATACCTAATCCGCCTCCATTTCTGCGACATCGTGAGCAAGACGTTGAATGAGCTCTACTTCAATGTCTACATAAACGACAAAATGGCGATTTCCGGTCTGGACTTATCAACTCTGAATGGGAAACTAGCAACAGCTTTCTACAAGGATTTGGTGGTAAATTCATCAATGGTCACCAATCCTCTGAAAGTCAAAATCAGTTCAGTAAACGATGCTCAAGGCATGAAGAACGCAATACTCAATGGACTGGAGGTGTACAGAATGAACAATTCAGTCGGTAGCTTGGACGGGGAATACGGAGTTGACGGGAGGGCGGCGGACGGGCATTCCGCTGGGGGGAAGACGGCTGCAGCCGTTGGATTCGCAATGATGTTCGGGGCATTTGTAGGGTTAGGCGCAATGGCAGCAAAATGGCAGAAGAGGCCCCAAAACTGGCAGAGGAGACAAAGCTTCTCGTCGTGGTTGCTTCCAATCCACGCCGGAGATTCGACCTTCATGAGCAGCAAGAGCAAGAGCCACCAGTTCTATTCATCATCCACCGGATTAGGCCGCTTCTTCTCTTTCGCAGAACTACAGGAAGCTACCAAAAACTGGGATCCGAAGGAGATCGTCGGCGTCGGGGGTTTCGGCAACGTGTATCTCGGAACAATCGACGACGGGACCAAAGTCGCAATCAAGAGAGGAAATCCCCAATCGGAGCAAGGAATCAACGAATTCCAGACGGAAATCCAAATCCTCTCAAAGCTCAGGCACCGCCATCTCGTCTCCCTGATCGGCTACTGCGATGAGAACGAAGAGATGATTCTGGTCTACGAATACATGGCAAACGGGCCCTTAAGGGACCATCTCTACGGAAAAGGCCTTCCTACCCTCACATGGAAACAGCGGCTGGAGATCTGCATCGGGTCGGCCCGCGGGCTCCATTACCTCCACACCGGAGCCGCACAAGGAATCATCCACCGCGACGTTAAGAGCACCAACATCTTGCTGGATGAGAACTTTGTGGCGAAGATGGCGGATTTCGGGCTGTCCAAAGACGGCCCGGCGACCGGACAGACCCACGTCAGCACGGCCGTGAAGGGCAGCTTCGGGTACCTTGACCCGGAATACTTCCGGAAGCAACAGCTTACTGATAAATCGGACGTCTACTCGTTTGGAGTGGTGCTTCTAGAAGCTCTCTGCGCCCGGCCGGCTATCAACCCGCAGCTTCCGAGAGAGCAAGTGAACCTGGCGGAGTGGGCAATGCAGTGGAAGAGAAAAGGGTCATTGGATAAGATCATTGACCCGGCGCTTGTGGGTCAGATTGACCCGGAATCAATGAAGAAATTCGCAGAAGCGGCGGAGAAGTGTTTGTCCGAGTATGGTGATGACAGGCCTTCCATGGGAGATGTGCTGTGGAATCTGGAATATGCTTTGCAGTTGCAGGAGAACTCTTCCATAGGAACGGCAGCCGCGGTCGAGGAAGAAAGCGCCGCCGCCGCCGCACCACCAGCTAATAATCAAACTGCCCAAGCTTCTTCTTCTTCACCTGAACAGAGCAGGAACAACACTGGTGGAGGTGAAGGCGGTAATGAAAGTACGGGAAGTGAACAATTGGATTCCTCAACGGGCGATAAATCCCAAAAGTGCTGATCATGGAAAAAAAGATTTTTTTATAATTACAAAAAATTCTTGATAGTTCTTTAAATCATTTATTATTACTATCATTATTAGTGCTGATCAATGGTGCAAAACTGCATTACTAACAATTAACAACCAGACGGAGTACTGCTTATTACTCTTTCAGTGTAATAATATTCATAATGATATATGTAAAAAGAGTTTATGTAATGATTCAGAGTCTGGTAGATGATTTTGGATTGACACAAATGGAATACAGGATTTGCCATGAAGAAATAGTTAGCGGCATTGAGGGTAATTCAGAGATAAATTTAACTCTTTGCATCGTCAACTTTGCTTGGCGTACATCTTTTGTCTACACAAAAGGTGTACACCACACATTTTTCTTGCACATTCTTCCCATATCGTTTGGTCATCATCATTCATCATCATTAACTCAGTGTTGCAAAGGCTCCCACCTACGGTGAGGTAAGGAGGTTGATATACGCACTCTTATCCATGTATTAAAGCACAGTGAGACTGTTTCCGAATGACTTATAATGAAAATCGCGTCGAAAAATATATGGACTGACTACTGCTTCACAATAAAGAAGCACAGACAATTTAGTGAGACAGGAAAAGTGATGGAAAAGTGATGAATGAGCCCAGATTTTAGCTCGAATGTGACCCCCGTATCAAGAGTTGGAAAAGTGATACATAAGGGTTGTTGATTTAGATTCGGAGCCGTTAGCTCCCTTAACGTTCTTGTTTCAAGAGCCATGTGAAAGGACTCTTCGGATTCACTAGAATGAGAACTAGCACTTGATGATTCCTCCGAAGAAGTATTCGGAAATAGATTCCTGAACCTCTCGAAGGCTTGTTCTGTTTCGGGCTTTGTTTGGTAGGTGATTTGGTTTATAGATCGGTGTTTAACCATATACTCAAACAAAGCTCAGCCAAAATAGAAATCTTTATATATAATTTTTTTTGATTTTTCTTTGAAATAAAATAAAAAGAAAAATTAATTGCCTTTCCCCGGCAACGGCGCCAAATTTGACGAGCACTTTTGTCACGGTGCGTCAAAATAATTTCAATACTAAACACTTATACGTAGTATAGCGTAGTAGAGTTCGTATCCACAGGGAAATGAATAATTCTCTTTTTATGATACTTAGTAAGTAAAAAGGGGGGATTTGGATTGAGTGATTTAATTTAATTAAAAACTAAGATGAACAACCTATATGTGTTTAATTCAAAGATAAAAAGGACTTGGCATTGCTACTTTCCACTTGTTGATATATTTTAGTCGTTCATTGTTATATCTGTAACTTCTTTCCTCTCGAATACTCAATCGGGGAGTATATCCACTTCATCGAGGGTAGTTATTAACAACGACCGTTCATTAATAACCCTTACTATTAATCAAATATAGAACAACGCCTTATACCGATTTAATAGTAGCATTTAATCTTTCTAACTCCTTGATGAAATCAATTGAGATTGATAACCTCAACACAAGCAGTTTCGGTTTAACCAATAAAATTAATCCCTCTTAAGTTAATTAACCACGACCGTGCATTAATAAACCGAAGCTACTTACTTGTGAAACCATCAACGATTAACCATCGGTTCGTTGATCGTTTCTAGTAATAACTAATATATGAAACAAAACTAGTTGATCCTTTAAGTAATGTTCAAAATATTAATATGAAATAAGAGTAGGGATTAATTAATATTCAAGGAAGAATATTATTAATGAAGATGAATCCTACTATAATTAATTATCAAGATGTTAACTAATTGTCATCTTAGCAACACTCCTCAATATTAATATAGAGGAAGAAAACACCATTCTAACTAATGTTGAGATGTTAACTAATTGTCATCTTAGCAACACTCCCCAACATTAATATAGAGATGATATTAAGGAAAGAACTATTAATTAATATTCAAGGAAAGAAGTTAAGAAAATAACTCACAACTTTAATAATCAACAAGCTTCAAGAGCAACACCAAGAATGGAAGTTTAGCTCCTCATTTGGAGGCTAAACATAGCTAGAAAAATATAAAGAAATGCTATTCTAAACTGAGCTAAAGAGTATGGAAGAAGGGATGATTTTTAGAGGAGAAAAAGAGTGCTATTTATAGGTGTTTTTCAACACCTTTGGCCAGGTACCCGACCGGGTCAACTACTCACCCGACCGGGTCCATGTCAAAATCAAATATCCTCCACGTTCTGGCGATCTTCAGCATGTTAAAGTGTCCGGGTCAAGTCAGACCCGACCGGGTGGGGTAGGGGACCCGACCGGGTGAGTGCAAAAATTGGATTTTCTACACGTTCGGGTGATCTTTGCACACCGGGTTGTCCCCGGTCACTTCTCACCCGACCGGGTGAGGTAGTGGGCCCGACCGGGCCATGCACTTTCTTTGCATTTTCGTTTTTCACTTCTTACCCGACCGGGTCAGGGTTTATACCCGGTCGGGTATTTGCTCCTGGGCAGTCAAATCTTCTTTTTCTTCACTTCAAGGTCTTCCTTTCCAACACCACAAATCCTAACTAAACTTTACAACTTTCAAAAAAAGACTAAAATACAATTACAACTGAAATCACATAAATGTTTACAAACTAAATAAAACGTCAAACAATTAACATAAATCAAACATAAAAACATGTAATTATGCACTACTAATTAGTGTGCATCAGTGGTGGGGTAAGGAGGTTGATATACACACTCTTATCTATGTATTAAAGCACAGTGAGACTGTTTCCGAATGACTTATAATGAAAATCGCGTCGAAAAATATATGGACTGACTACTGCTTCACAATAAAGAAGCACAGACAATTTAGTGAGACAGTTTGCTTTATTTCATCATATTCTCAAGCCAAAAATAGTAAATATTTGGTTCCATTGCAAATAATGGAAATTTTCCATTTCGTTTGGTAAGATGAAGAAATTGAAATAATTACAGGGAAAGAAATCTCGGCCTGATTAAAGAATGTATAAATCCATAATTGACATGATAAGCTGCAGGAAGCTAAGGGATTGTAGGTAGGGGTGTTCGTCGGGTCGGTTTGGTCGGTTTCGGTCGGTGTCGGTCGGTTTGAAAAATTGTCGATTTTCACAAATGGCAAACCGATAACCGAACCGAATGGGATTCGGTCGGTCGGTTCGTAGAACCGAAGAACCCGGTTCGATCGGTCGGTTTGGTCGGTTTGTTCTGCACTAATTTTTTAAACTAATTTTAAAACAAATTTGACAAGCTTACCATGTTTTGTGAGTTTTTTACTGTCAACGCAACATGTTTCAACCTGTTTGCATGCTAACAAATAACAATACATAATATACTAAATTACTACCAGTCTATCACAATCAAAATAAATATACTTAAACAGTAAACACTTGACAAGATTCGAAAAGTTCTAATTCTTGTTACCAAATCAGGAAGTTTGAATAAACTGACAAGCAATCAAACAAGAAAAAAAAGTAGGAAAATAGAACAAGTCTTCAATGATTAAATAATAGTTTAGCCAACACTGAAAAACCATAAATCTATGCTCCATCATTCAACCCTCCAGCTTCCACATCCAAATTGTCATTTGCTGCACAATCTGCATCCACCCTATATAAATGAAGCAACACAATATTCAAATACTAAACCTGAATATAGCATAAAACTCAAAATAAAGCACAATTTGCATCCTACTATTTTGATTTTTGTTTGCTGCTTTTTTACAACTTAAAAATTTACTTCCTAATGCATAAAAATTTAAAACCATATATTTACTCCAACTCAATCGTTCCTTAAGTCCCACTTAATCTTCACAAGAAATTCAGACAACCTACCTGGGTTTAGCCGGCTGGATATATAGCACATTACAATTTAAATGAATTATTTAAAATGTAGCATACTCAAATGGGTGATCGTTCGTGTTGATATTCGGAAGATTTGAACCAGTGTTGCTTGAACTTGATCTTGTCGAAGTCGGGGGCATTAAGAGAACACCTTCATCTGGAATATGAAGACAATTAAAATATCAAACTTCAAATTTATTATAATTATAACAAATAATACTACTATTTGGTAATTTTGTATAGCAAAAATGTGTTGGAAAAATGTGTTAAAAATTGCATTAAATGGTCATTTTGGGGCAATTATTTGAGTGGGGTCCACTTCCGATTTGGGTCGGGTTAAAGTGGTTTCGGATTGTCCTTGTTAAGGGCTACAATTCGATATGTGGCACACTGAAAACGGATAACGGGTGAATGAGAAATTGATTCTCGAAGTTCACTCGTTGAAATGGAAAAACTGGGAAAATGATGGGTTTCTAGTGTATTTTATCCCACGCCGGAAAACTCAAGGGATTTTCACCCCCTTATAAAGGGAAGCCTCTTTTAAGGAGTTAAGATTCCTAAAGGTAAAGGCTCTCTCTTACGCGCAGGGGGGTGCCGATCAAATCCTGAAACGGAGAAGAAAAATTGTGACTCGTGTGCGCGGGTGACCTGCGAACACGAATGTCGTCTGAAAAATCTATCATTCAAAGATATGGTCTGGAACAGAAGTGCTCGAATTCTGTCCGCAACAGAAACCCTCGAGGTCTTCTGTTCGCAACAGAGACGCTCGAGTTCGGTCCCCAACGTTCTTCTCTTTTAATGCTGCGTTAAATGGACAGTTTATGGACGATTCAATGCCCAACGGACTGGTTATTGATGTCCAACGTTCAGGTCCATTAACACCCCATTTAACACACAACAAATCCTCATATAAATAGCTGACAGGTGGTTTGCAACGAGACACAACACATTCCCCACGTTTTCTTGAGCTAAAAACACTTCCAGCTACTCCGAAATTTCCCTAGTGTTCTGCTATTGTTCCAGTTCACCGGGACTTTCGTTTGTGTGCTCAAACGATCGTTCGTTAGCCACCGTATCCTGGGAAACGGTCGTTGCAACGCTCCTACCACCGTGGGAGGCGACGAATATGTTTTAAGGACATCGTGCGTAGCACGAGCTCTGACTAAAATCTGCTCCATCTTATTTCTATTTTCTTTAAGCTATTTTATTTATTAATTAATTTTATTTAATTAATATTTCTTCGTTTTGCCGAAACACACCCAACAAAATGCATTTAATGACC